TAGAACGAAAAAATTCTTCACATTACACCAACGTTTGTACAAATTTCAAAACCAAGATGGCGAGTCTCGTCTGCGCAGACGCAGGCTTTCCGTTTTCTATGACATAAATATTATTAAATACAGTATGGCCATCTATTTACATATAAATACTGAATTTCTGGAAAATATATACAGTATTTTCCACAAATATGATGCAAGGGAGAGACTGATTTGTTTCATGCTCAGCAAGGAAGATGACTGTAACTTTCCTTTCACTAACTTTGAACTTGATGCAGCACTAACTAAGGGCAACTCCACGTCGCCTGGTGAGGATGGTATTACTTACAACATACTCAGATTGCTGTGTCGAGTACCAGGTAATCCTTTACTTGAATTATATAACATGAGTTATGTCACTGGGGAGCTCCCTAAATCATAGACCAACAGCCTCATTATTCCCATTCCGAAACCCAATCAACAAAACTCATTTCGCCCAATATCCCTTAACAGCTGCTTGTGTAAAACATTCGAAAGGATGATTCTTAATCGTCTCATGCACAGAATTAAGCAGTTTTTGTCTCCCCGGTTGTATGGCTTCATGCATGGAAGGAGTGTGCATCATTGCATTACCACCTTTCTCACTCTGCACACTGACAGCTCATACACTACCTTTCTTGACCTTAAATCCGCTTTCGATGTAGCCAACCGACATGTAATCATTAGTGAACTTGCCAGAATGGATGTTGGAGGATGGCTTCTCCGCTGGATTAAAGGTTACCTGTCCAACAGAAAGTCGTCTGTGTTGTTCCAGGGACATACAAGTGTAACTAAAGATTTTGAATTAGGAACCCCACAGGGAGGTGTGCTCAGTCCTACCCTATTCAATATTCTAATTTAGGTTTAGAAAGGATAAAGGAAGGATTTGGAGTTGTCGATAAGTAGAACTTATTGCCAAGTAGGGTCATTGTAGCTAAATTCTCTGGGTATGAGTGAGAAGCGTTCGATGTGAGAGGAACCTGTCTAGTACGGGCCAGAAAGTTTAAAAACACACAGGTATATACTAGGACATATTTATTAGACAAGTTTCAGTCCTAGGACCTTTACCTCTAAAATACAGGAGTCAAGATTAAAACTGTGAATATAATAATAATAATAATAATAATAATAATTAATAATAATAATAATAATAATAATAATAATAATAATAATTATAATATCTTTATTTACTACATATACAGTACAGACCATAGCTGACATCAGTGACATACTACTATATAGACAGTCACTTGTTAAGCAGAGTATTTCCCACAAATTAGGTCAGTTTTGCCCCAGGATGCGACCCACACCAGTCGACTAACACCTAGGTGCCCATTTTACTGATGGGGAATATAGACAACCAGTGTAAAGAAATACACCCAATGTTTCTACCCTCGCTGGGAATCGAACCCAGACACTCACCGTGTGAAGCGAGAGACTTAGCCACCAGGCATATAAGTGATACGTGAAAGTCGGGTATCGTGAGTGGCAGGTATTGACCTGACGAAAGAACAAGTTAGATTTCATGATGGTGTCAGGTCGTTCATTAGGTCACCTGAATGCGGTGTTGTGCGGTAGGTGGGGCTTAACATGGTCAAGAATAATTTATATTAGTGTTTTTAATACGCCATAGTTTCTAGGTTTTCGTTCCACGGTGCCAGTGACGGCGATTAATTAGGCTCCCAAGAACCTTCAACGCCTACAGTCGGGTTCATTGATGGTGAGTTGTGCCTCATTCCAA